GGCAGAATCTCATTGAGCAGCAAAATCCACCCTCTACTTTGGGACAAGATAAAACAACTTACAACTTGGAGAGCTGAAACTGAAACCACTTACAAAAATGACAAACTCTTGAAGAAACTAAAGAAATTAGAACATGACAAGAAAGCCCCCAACAACTCACAACAACACCTGAAACAATTAGTATATAACATTTCCAACAGAGAACTCACCAAAACAGAAACAGATGTCCTAACCAAAGGATTCAATTATGCTATAGCACCCAAAAAAATCCCCACAGAATCCAGCATATGTGCAGTAGAATCCAGCCTAACTAAATTAAATACAGATGAAGCTGATAGAATAAGACACCAAGTTACTAACATCCTGTGCACAAGCAAACCACCCAAAAGCAACTTGCACAAAGAAGAACTAAAAGCCCTGCAAGCCCTAAAAAAGGATAGCAGCATAATCATACTTCCAGCAGACAAAGGGAATGCCACAGTAGTAATGGATAGAAAAGACTACGAAACAAAATTGACAGACCTACTCCAAGACTCCACATATAAACCCATAAACACGGACCCAACCACATATCTGGAAAAAATAACCAAGAAGAAAATTATAACCAGCCACATCCAACAGACGATCATCCCAAGAGAAAAATCTTCCAGATGCCCCAAACTATACAGCCTCCCAAAAATACACAAAGAAGGCATACCTCTCAGACCCATAGTCAGTTCCAGAGGAGCACCACTACAAAACCTAGCTAAACACTTAGCAAAACATCTACAGCCCCATGCTGAAACAGCAGCTTCACATGTACAAAACTCATACCACTTCTTGGAAATGATCAAAGATCTACACGTGGAACAAGAAGATCTGCTTGTAAGTTTTGACGTGGTTTCACTATTCACTCAAGTCCTGATAAAAGAAACTCTTGAAATCATCAAAAATAAATACCAACCAGCTAAACACCTCATGGAACTAGCAGAACACTGGTTAACCAACACGTATTTCATATACAAAGAACAAAGATACAAGCAAATTGAAGGAGCCCCTATAGGATCACCACTGTCACCTGTCATTGCAAACCTGTTCATGGAAGAATTCGAATCCAGAGCCCTGGCTAACGCCACCCACAAACCCAAACTATGTTAAGATACATCGATGACACATTTGTGATTTGGCCCCATGGAAAAGAAAACCTAAACAATTTCCTAACACACCTAAACAGCACAAACCCCAAAATCAAGTTCACCATGGAAACGGAAACAAACAAACAACTACCATTCCTAGATGTACTAATCTACAAAAAAACAGATGGCACACTAGGACACACCATATACCAGAAGAAAACACACACCAACCGCTACCTCAATGCCCAATCCCACCACCACTCAGCACAGATAAACTCCGTGGCCAAAACACTAATCGCCAGAACCAAACGCCTGGCAGACAAGACTGACATATAAAGACTGAACTATGCACCCTGACTAAAGTACTGACAGCCAACGGCTTCCACAAAAGCAAAATCACAGGCCTGATCCACAAAAACACACGGAGACATAATGGAGACCCAGAAGATGAACAGACCTATGGAACAGCTGTCCTGCCCTACATAAGAGGTACTACAGACAAAATCAGCAAGATCCTACACAGGCATCACATCAAGACTGCCTTCAAAACAGACAGAAAAATAGCAGCCATCCTTAGAAACCCCAAAGATAAAATTGACCTGGAAAACCAAGGCATATATGAAGTCCCCTGTGCATCATGCCCGGCCACATACATTGGACAGACCAATAGAAGAATAAGTACCCGCCTGGATGAACACAAAAATGCAGTAAAAAAGCTGGAACACACTTCCTCACTAGTCCAACACATGAAAGCCACAGGTCATAGCATCGACTTCAATGGCACCAAAACCCTAGCCACTATAGAAAACCCCAGCTACAGAATTATCAGAGAAGCCATAGAGATTGAAAAAAAGACCTGAAAGCATGAATAGAAGAGATGATTCCACCAGACTGTCAATTATTTGGAAGCCTGAACTCACAAACAAAAAAATCTCCACACCACAAGCCAGGCAAACACCTGGGCACAAACAGACCCCCCCAATACCTCCAGCTCAAACACACCCCAACCAGGCACCCAGATGAAACCTAGCTTCCATTTACTCAGAGCCAAGCTGCACTAAAAGCCTCCAATACAGGAACACAATGTTGCTAGCCAACCAAGACAAAAAAAGCCACAAAACAGACAGAAGATATTAGAAACACCAATCAAGCAGAACACAGCAAACTCCAAAACCAATAAACACAGACCAAGACCCCCAACCAATCAGGATGAAGAAAAAACCATTCTGGCACAGCAGTAGGCTAGCCCCAAATTTAAAACTGAAACAACTGTAAAAGTCTGACTCACAGATGAACACAATACAGAAGCCTGATGATGGCAGATGAGATTCTGCCGAAATGTTGCTACAACTTTAAAAGCACAACTATAATGACGTGGGAAAATACCTGAACAAAGCTGAATACCATACATACATACATACATACATACATACATACATACATACATACAT